AAAAGATTTTAAAAAAGAGTTTCTTCTGTATAGCACAGGGAACTATGTTCAATATCTTGTAATAACCTTTAATGAAAAAAATATGAAAACGAATATATGTATGTATATCCGTGGCTGGGACATCATGTTGTACACCAGAAACTGACGCATTGTAATTGACTGTACTTCAAAAAAAAAAAAAAAGAAATAAAAAGTAAAAAAATTCCTAAACCTTAAAAAAGAAAAAGAAAAAGAAAAAAACAAAAACAGAATTAAAACCTTTGTGCACACACTGATTGACGCATGCTCAAGCCAAGGGTGGCAACAAAATTAAAACAGGACCTCTCAGTCAAAATGTCTTTGAACTATAGTCAGTAAAATAAAACCCACTATTGGCAAAGGACTCTAGGCAACCTAACTCCTTTTCAAAAACAAGCCTTCCTCCACGCCCTAGGGCTGGACTCAGACGGAAGTGGCAGCAGGGAACACAACCCACTCTAAGAGGGCAGAGTTGCAGAATAAATATTTTTGTTCAACAACATTTTATTACAGTGTATCATTGACAGTTCAACTCTACAGTCTTCACTAAGTCTCAAATACTTACTATGCCTTTAAAACTATCATGTAGTTGATCTTCAGCAAAAATATGGACCTGAAGAGGTTTGATGCTGAAGATGAGAGCTGACTTCAACATGGTTACGGTTTCTTCCAGTCTTTCACCACAGGCAACCACGGCTAGGTGCATTCTCTCAACGGGCTGCGCTTTCACACTGTACCTAACAGAAGAGAAGATCACATTTTCCAGAAGATTTAGTATAGGGTAACATGTTAACAACGTGGTATTCTGACCGTTTTTAAAAATGGAAGTTTGAAGCTTCCTTTTAAAAAAGCAGAGAGACACCAAATTGCGAAACAGTACAATGTTGAATCAATCACATAATTTCTATATCCTCAACCAGCCTTTCTCAGCTAATGTTCCTCACTAGGAACCACAAAACACAAAAAATGACTACCTCTCAATTCTCCCAACAATGGTACACAGCTAGCATCATGCTGGATGCACAGGAGCTCCCAAAGATCCCTCCACTTGAGAAGTAAAAGGGAGCATCACTGATTAGAAGGTCTTCCAATTTGATTTTTAACTTTTTTATTAAAAAAAAACTCAAACACACATTAAGTAGAGAGAACACAACGGCAAACCCCCATGTACCCATTGCTGAGCTACAATTATCCATTCAAAGGTATCCTTACTTCGTCTAAAACCCCGCCCCACAGCCCCTTCCACCATCAACAGCTCATTCTAAAGCAAGCCCAGACATAAACTCATCCAGGAACATCTCAGTATTGTGTCCCATCTTCTTCACCCACGCTCATTACAGGAAAAAGTTTCCTTCACAAAACCTTTTTCGCTGTCCAATTCCATTTACCAAGTAATCAATGAGAGGTAACACATGCCAGTCAAACACTAGAAGCACATCATTTTGGAAGGAAGGAAAGATTCCCTAAACCCAAGTTACTGGCCTCGACTACGGCAGACCCCCTTCTAACACCGAGCAGCCAGGCCTAAGGAGCCCTTCACGCCTCCTGCACCTTAACACTGAACTAACAGTAACCCGCCACTCTATAAAGAGCAGAACTAACTATGTGCGGCCAAAGTGTCTGCAAACAATTAACACTCACGACACGAAGTAAAGACCTCATCTGTGACTCCGGCGTAAAATAATCATTTCAGAACCGACAGCTGCATAAGAATAGAAGACAACATAAAGCAAACCAGTAACACACTGAAGTACTATGAAGCACAAACATTCCAAACTCAAAATTACCAATCTGACTTCAACTCAGTTTCTGCTTACAGAGATCCTTTCTGTAAAACGTAGGAGGGGACTAAAAATTACACAGCTTAACGTTAATAGCCGTATGTACACATTACTGAGATTTCGCAGTAGCAGGGGATGGGTGATTAATCTTTTTTTTTTTTACTGTACAAGCTAAGACTTCGGCAGTTACGTTCCTCAGCACAGGCCTTTGGAATCTGGAGTATTCACGCCTCCGCGTGCGAGTGTGAGCGTGGATCAAGAACTGTTTCCTGGGGAAAGTCTCGGTCTTGCTCACGGGCAGTCCCTTGCTCGTGGGTATCAGAAAATCATGGTAAGTAATGCTGAACACAAACAACTGACTACGTAAAACACACCTGAATGTCAAATTCATTCCTCTTAATGTCTTAACATGAAACATTTGGAATCACATTATATTAACGGGATAAATTAAGTCTGAATATACATGACGTGCTCCTGCTCTCACTGCGCATCTAGCTCTTCCTGTTAACCTGCGGGTTTGCTAAGGGCCCAGAGAACTTTAAGACAGCGGTAGAAACTGAAGCTTTTCTGGTCTGACTGGGTTCCTGAGGCCTGAAAATGGGTTTGCTTCTCTTACGTGGGGTATCTCTGACCTACACGATCACTGGTAACGGTCGGCCTTCAGCAGAGGAGCAGAAAAGCCCTTCAGCAGAAATACTGATCTCCTAGAAAACACAGGCATCGCTTCCTTCCCTGGTCCCTCTACGGGGAGGCTCAAACTCCTCCACACCCTGATAACTCACTCTTTGCTCAGGCTAACGGGCCAATTAGTCTAAAGATGAGGTTCCTTAAAAACAAACAAGAAAAAGAAACTTCCCCTAGATAATCCATGAACTTAAATATTATGACGCCAATTTGTTAACAGTATTAAGTGGAGGAGTCCCATATAAGTGGTGTTCTTGGAAGGAGAGCATTTACTACTCGAGAAGCATGGTGATATTTTACTCTTCATTAAGGTATGAAGATTATCATTATATTAAGATACAATATCAGGTACACACCTTCCCTTTAAAATTTGGATCAATCCACCCAGAACTGGTTTTTACAAGTGGTTTGCAGAAGGGACAGTTGCACAGTCTTGCATGTGGCTATCCAGCTGTCCGAGCACCTCCGGTCAGTCACCACGGCTTGGTCTTTCCCCACCCCTCTGCTGAGCTGTAGCTTTTACAAGTAAGGTGTAGCCTAAAACTGGGTCTTTTCAAAGCTCTGCTCTTTTTCACTGACAGCAATTGGGAAGAAACAGTACCTCCTTCCTTGTCTGCACCCTCTATCCATTCCCCTTTTTGCTGCTGAGCCCCTCAGTCGGCAACACTGGAAAACTGACAGGTCAGAGGGGAGAAGAGCTGCGCTCTCTACAGCTAAACAAGGGGACGTGACCCCAGGTCACCTCAAAGCAGAGGAAGCCACAATGACTCAAGGAAAAGCCAAGGCAATCAAGACAAACAACAGTTTCACAGAGCCCTAAATTTTCTGATCTTTCTGGTAAATGCCTCCAGACCCTACTCCTCATGATGGTATAAAGACCCTCACTGAGGCACTAAGATGAGATTCTGTAATGGGCCTGGATTGCTTAACTGGCCATAACTAGATTCAGCCCCAAATCTAAAAGCCAAGAGATTTAAAATGTAAGCCTTAATAGTCGTGTGCTGTTTTGCACAGAATTCTCTATTGTAGTAGATGGTTTGAACAAGAAGAATTAACAAATGCTAAAACCACAGAGTATCAATGTATTATCCCCACACATTACCAAGGGGATAAAGATATTGTTAGAAATGTGACACCACCACCTTAACCACATGACCAAACGATCAATAACGTTAAACGTGTGGCATCAGATGCCTCCTAACAGTATGCCCAGAGAAGAGCACATGTCTCCATGCAGTACTCCTGCCAAAATCCTCAGTGTAATCCTAAGGAGACAGATGAATCCAAATAAAGGAACTTTCTGCAAAACAAAACAAAAATATCACGTCACAAAAGAAAGACACCAGCCCCCCAAAAAGTGTCTGAGATTGTTCTAGAGAAAAGGAGACAAATGGATCTAATAACTGAATGCAATGTATATTGACTGAGTCCTGAATGGGGAAGAAAAGATAAAGTTCATTAACAGGAAAATAAGGAGATATGAAGTGCCAATTTTGCTATGGTGATGCTGGAGAATTTCCCTGTTCTTAGGCGATCCATGCTGAAGACTTAGGTATGTGTCATAATGGCTGTCTCTCAAATTCAGCCAAAAGTGAGTGGAAAAATGTCAACAGCTAAGTACCTACGGAAGGGTCTGTAATTTGCTCACTTCGCTATTCTTGTAACTTCTGGAGATCTGAATACTTATCAAAGCAAAAAGTTGACGGAAGCGGGCTGGGCCAGGAAAAAAAGTTAGCACTTAACGTTTTAGATAACAAGTTCTAATACGAACACCGTTAACAGACTTTAAAGCCTTAGGAATAAATTTATTTTAAGTAACATTTCTGCTATAAAGGAACCATAATATTTTTTCTTCTAATTTTTTAATTTAGACAACATGAAAAGCTTCCAGTGTATTCTTCTAGCCTATTATTAAACTAGTGTTCTCTCTAGAAGACAATATATAGTATTTAGACTAGGAATCAGCATTATATTGAAGTATATAAACTCAAAGTAAACAAATTAAATTTCTGATAACAATCTCCCCAAACTAAAAAATAACTGCCACAAACCTGTATTTAAAAACTTACAGTCAAACAAAATTGGGAAACTATATTCAGAAACACTAATGATAATTTCCTTACTATGTAGCTTAAAAAAAAGTTTTTCCTCTTAGTGTAAAAAAAACAGAGTTGTGCTGAATTATCATATTAGGTAAAACTTCTTTAAAGGTGGTATATAAATCACTTTTGGAACAAAACACAATACTTAAAAAAAATTCTGCAAGGTTTTATGCAAAGCATTAAAAATCTAAAAATCCAACAGTAAGTGTAAGTACGAATTGCTAAAATGTAATTTAAAATAACCTGTAAAAATATATCTCTTAAAACTAGTATGGGACCACTCAAGATAACTGTTCAGGTAACAAATTCACAGACTCCATGCACTGAAAATCAATTCCCACCAAAAAGAGAAAAATTAAGTATTTTAAAAACTCAAGTCATATGATAATATTAAAATTAAAAGACTGCATAATGAAACGATAACTAAAATTTAAAAATAAAACAAATTAGGAAAATATTTGCAATCAATGGCAAAAGTGGAATGTATTATTCTGAGTTCATAAAATAAGTATTAAATATTCAGTAGGTAAATATCAATACAGAAAATACGTAAAGGACTTACAAAGCTAAACGAAATATGTTCAATAAATAATCAATGGATATAATTCAATAATAAGCTATCACTTTACTCTAATAAGTGGCAGTATTATAACTCCCAGTGGTGAGTACTAAGGTTATGGTGACACCAGTACATTCACATAATGCTGGTGTAGGCTTAAATCTGTATAATTCTTAGAACACAATTAAGTGATATTCATTCTTTTTAGTGAATATTTGAACTCCTTTCATAAGCTAGACACTGGGGATAAGCAAGAAAACCACAATCCTGACCTCATTCAATTTACAGCCTGCTGTGAAAAGACAGATTTTTAAAAGATTTAATCAGAAAGCATGGGAATTGCTTAAACAGAACAGAGTTGAGACTCTGTAAGTGGGCTCACTACACAAACCTCTAACCTAGCCTGGAAGTGCTGGGGAAAATCGTCAGTCATTCACTGGTTGCCAAGCAACCTGCTAAATAATGGGGTTTAAATAATGAGCACCATGTGGCATTCACCTGTAAAGCCAACACTCTACAAGTGGATGACGACCACAACCACAACAGATGCAGCAGGTAACTGGGAGGGCAGAGAAGGGAGAAGCGGTGCACGCACAGCGGCCGTATCAGGAGTGATGCGCGCCAGTCAGGGGCAGAAAGGAAGAGGTTGACAGGAGCGACGACAATGTGGGCGGAGATGGGTGAGAAGCGTCACCGTGGACTGATGTGTGGAAAGTCCATCACCAACCAGGCCACAAAATGCAGACGAAGGAAGGTGTGAGGAGCCAGACCAAGCCAGCAAGGTAAAAATCAGCAGCACACAGCTGGAAATGCAGTCCGGGAGCTCAGGAGACAGCTGGGGACTGAAGACAGCAGTTAAACAGATGAGCCTGTGACTGTGCAGGGGATGGGCAGAGAAAAGAGCAGCGCCCGAAGCAACGTCACTATGCAGGAGTCGGGAAGAGAGAAAGGGGTCCAGGAGCAGAGAGAACAGAACACTGAGATACTGGTCTCAAGAGCCAGAGACTGACACAGTGGAAAGAAAGAAAGAGGAAGTGTTAAGCAATGTCAAACGCCAAGAAAAGCAAGATTAGCCTCAGAAGAACAATCCAGAGGTCAGAGGTGACTCCCATGGGGGCGGGTGCTGGCGCTGCTCACAGCGGGCTGAGGTGTGAATTTTTTAAGGAGTGAAGCCAGTAACACTGTTATATAAAATGTTTGCTAGTGAAGAGAAAGAACAAAGGATGCTTGAAGGAGAAGGGCTGAAGGCAAGCTGTTGTAGGGACCTGGTGTTTGGTTTTGTTTCCAGGACAGACAGACAGACAGAAAGGGATGAGGACTGTGACGTACGGCTGGGAGGCGGTCAGTCAGGCTGAGGACGCAGATGCAGACACAAATGACTAACAGCATGTGCACGATGAAAATACTTGGGATTATTTTATATTCAATGTATAATAAAGTAATGGGGAGGAAATAATCCCCAAGATAAGTCTGATCAAAACAAAATTATATAAAGATTTCAAATTGGGAAAGCTGGGACAAGGCTGGAGCAAAGAACACGGTGCCAGCTGAGGGCCCACTGGCGCCAGGAAAATGTGAGACCTAAGCTTTTCCAGATGGGCAGAGGAGCTCTGAGAGTCAGGCAAAAATGAGTGCTCGCTTAGAGTAAATACTGAAACGGAGGGTGAGAACGGTGTGGTAACTGTAGGGCATTTTGGCTTGTCCACACGTTTGAACAGACACTAAGAGATTTTGCACAATGATATGATACATGTAACGAAATGGTTACACATGTATACTATGGATGCAATACTGCAAGTGGAGAGTATTACTTTTAAAGTCTCAAATTTAGGAGAGTAACAGTAACAAGGATTTACAACATAGTGTATCCATTCCTTCCAGGGAATACTTGGGAACACTAGGAAAACAATGAGTTAGAGAGTCCCAAATAAAAGGGGTAATAAGCAGAGACTCCAGGATTCAGGCGGGTTGACTTCTCCGGGTACTCCCGCGGTAGAGGAGGAAGGAACATGACCACTCACGCCATAACTCACAGGGGGGCCTGGGTTGTAGAAATCAGAGTACACCAAAGTTTTCAAGCTTACCCAGCTTCCAGGGTGAGCAGATTTACATCACAAGGCTGGAGATAGCAAAATGGTGCTTGTCAGTACTCTATTCATTAGCAAACTCTTGAAAGAATGAAAAATATAGAGCTCCAATTCTCCAAAGTTATGAACAAACTGAATGGTTAAGATTATCTTTAAAAAGTTAATTTTTAATTTATTCCTTTTCACCCTCTCCCCCCACCCACCACCAGTAACCATAAGTTTGTTTTCTATGTCTGTGAGCCCAAGATTTGCAGATACTACTATATATGAAATAGATAAATGAGTTTCTACTATAAAGCACAGGGAACTATATTCAATATTTTGTAGTAACCTATAATGAAAAAGAATATGAATACAAATATATGTATATGTATGAGTGAACTATTTATTATGCTATACACCAGAAACTAACACATTGTAAACTGACTATACTTCAATTCAAAAAAAAAAAAGTTAGTTTAGAAGTTTAAATAAGCTGACTGGACTGACCCATATTAGAATTTCAATCACCCAATCTATTCTATAGCAACAAGATACAATTAAAATATCTAATTTCATCTTTCCCAGTTGTTCATGGGACGCATAATGTATCAGGAATACAACAATTTAATAATACATACTACTATTATGTATTAGGAATGTGTTTCCTCCCATGTAGAACACATTACCTCCTGTCCTTAAGCCCGGCTAATTTCCTGTTCATCACATAGTCACTCCCTCCAAAAGCCTTCCCTGATGTGTTAAGATGATCCCACCTGCTGACCACCTGTTTCTCCCATCATCAGAGCTATAACTTGTCACCCTCTATTACAGTCCCAGGTTTACTAGGGTGAAGCTCTCATCAGAATGTAAGCTCCAGAAGGATGGAGCCACACTAACCAGACTCAGTCTGATTCTTAAGCAATTGGTACTGTGCCTGGCAAATGGAATGAATGGAATTAAAATTTAAATACATCATAGAGACACAGTAAAAAGAGGGGACTCTCAAAGAAATTTTATTCTTGGGAAGGGCACTGCAGGCAACTGCCTCACTCTCCCCTGCCGCTGTCTCCGAGACAGTCTGATATCCCATTCCTACCAACACTGAAGGTCAGAGCAGGAAGGGACCTGAGCGCCAGCCGATCCGACGCCTTCACCATCCAGAGAAGTGGGCAAAGCTGAATTATTCCACCACTTTTAAAAATGGTCAATAAACAATGTAATATTATTGGCTCCTTCATTAAACACTGACTTTACCCTCCCAGTCCCCAATATTCAACCTCTCTGCTAATAACCAATAAAATCCTTCCCAGCTGTCCCCCTCTACCCACAAAATGTTTTTACAGTATACTAGCTTTAAATTAGATGAATGCTGTATGGTTGTAAATGTCGGTGGAAGTCTGTTTTTATCACCTGTTAAGCAATTTATCACCTGTTACCAAAAATAAGGTCATAAATTGTCCTAAAAACAATGGTTTGTCTTAATAACATTTTTTTTAAATTTTCGAGCATTTTATAAACAGTATGTACCAAAAAATAGTGATAACTACTTCAAGTGGGGAAAGGAACAGAAAATCCAATCAAAAGTGAATTACTTAGTTGTATGATAATATTAAATCACAGGAAAAGAAACATTTTTATGCCCTATTACAGTCAAAAATTGGTTATCTAATCCTACCTACACTGATCTACCAATTAAATAGTTAAGTGCCTACCTAAAAGCCGCTTCCCAAAAGCAGTTCATTCCACAAACATCAGAGGGCAGCATCCAATAGGGATTCCAGTAACACAGAGAGAAATCTTTACACCTAACAGAGTAAGACAGAAACAGAGAGTCCTAGGTGAGAATTTTAGCTTAAAACTAACAAGGGATTTACTCAACAACATAAAAACTTATGGCTCTATTTTACAGCAACAGATATTTCAAATCCAACTTGCTATGGCAATTTGAAGATTTTTGGAAACTGATTTCTCCCTTACTTAGGGGATCACTATTTTCAGTAGAACTTTAAAACTTCTGGCAGAAATACTACAGACTGGAAACATTTTCTGGTCAGGAACTCTCATAATATATTAAGATTCCCTTCTCAGATGACAAAGAAAATTTGGAATACTTCTAAAATTTTCCTTCAGGGACTACACATATACCCCCTAGAATAAAATCCATTTCAGCCCAACAAAATATTTGCTTATCCTGAAGCAAAATTTAACCACAAATGCCGGTGGAAAGGGAACAGAGAATCTTTAAATGCTTTTAAATTCATCTTCAATCCAAGCTACCTGTATGGTGTTTTAAGTTGAAAAGTAAGAAATCATGCTCAAGTTCATTATCTACATTATCTCAGTTTCCCATACTTCACCAAGCTAGACCATTTTTCTTTCCGTCCTTCTGTAATGAAAATATAAAACCCATGTACTAGTGAGTATACATGCAGCCTACTGTTAAAAAAATAATAATCATAAAACACTGAGGTGCTGCTGGCAAGAGGTAGTATAATTTATTTAAGGTTTCTTATCTCCCACATCTACATTTTCTCACTTATGAAAACTTGGTTTAAAGATTAAGATAAAGAATAGAAACTCAATACTGAGAACTCCTTAGGTATGTAAGTAACCATCACTACAAGCGATAAATTAGGAAAAGCAACTAAATCTGGAGACAGAACTTGTACTTCAGGCCAGAAAAAAAAAAAGTTTGAAAATATTAGAAAAGTAAAGATAGTTACGCAACTTCTAGTTATTAGTTGTTTTTACTCCTTAAAACTAATGTTTTCTGTTTTTTTTTTTTTAATGAGGGGGAGGTAATTCTATCTATTTATTTATTTATTTATTTATTTATTTATTTATTTATTTATTTATTTATATTTGGAGGAGGTACTGGGGACTGAACCCAGGACCTCTTCCATACTAAGCATGCGCTCTACCACTGAGCTATACCTTCCCCCTCCCTGAGCTATACCCTCCCCCCTTATTTCTGAAAACTTTTGAAAACGGGGTGTTAAACATACGAAATTCAACGAGGTAATGCTATTACATAATCTTAATGGGCCAAAACTGTAGCTGAGCTAAGTGGGTCTCACCTCAGTGAACAATGACATCAGGCATCAGTGAAGCCTATAAATGCAAAGTTTCTCCACTGTGGCTCAAACTGAAATAAAACTTTACCATGGCTCATCCTCATATTTCACATGGCTTAATCTTTCTAGCTCTAGGTGGCTTGTCTACAAGCAAACTGATCAAGGGACAGCACAGGGACCTCTGTGGTAATAAAACAGTCAGTACCCTGCCTGTGGAGGTGGTTACAGGAATTTACCCGTGTGATGTGACAGCAGAAAACTATGCATACACACGTGAGTGCACGTAAAGCTGGTGATGTCTGCATACAGCCTGCGGGTTGTGCAGTGTCAATTTCTGGGGTTCTAACATGGCACTATGTTCATACACATACACTCCCGACACAGTGGTATTACACTAAGCTCATGTAAGATGATACTACTGGGGAAAAACTGAATTAAAGGATAAACAGGGTGTCTATGCAACTTCCTGGGAATTCATACTTATTTCAAAAGTTTAAAAAAAAAAAAGCTAGTCAAAAATTAAATTCCCCCAAATTTCAGTACTTGAAAAATGTTTTAAAAATTGAGATACTTCATTCTCTGGATTAAAGAGAGCACTTAACAATAATGCTTTCCACAATAACAGTTCTCAAACTTGAAGTTTACTTAAATCCAATAACAAAAGGTCTTTTATGTTTTTAAATAAAACTGGAAACAGTATTTTTCATTTCAAAACGTCCATGATAGCCACGAGGCTTTAATGAAAACCATGCACAACGTGGAGAGTCAGGGATAAGTCTAGGCATATCCAGCATAAGAATGTGGAAATCTGAATGAGGTGTCTCACCAGTGATGCACCGTCAAGGCATGGATACCTGCGCCGTGGCTGCGAGAGAAACAAAGATGCTCACAGCCACGTTCAAGGAGACCATTCCCACCACCAGGTAAAGATTATTTTTAGGGGGGAGGGTATAGCTCAGTGGTAGAGCATATGCTTAGCATGCACAAAGTCATGGGTCCAATCCCAGTACCTTCATTAAATATAAAATAATAATGGTAATATATTAATTTTTTAAAATATGAATGCTCCCTAAATTGTTTTTATTTAAAACTTTAAAATATATATATTTTAACTAAAAACTGTGTCCAGACAACTTAGATTAATTTCTAGCTCTAATTCAGGTCCTCACTTCATTTTCTTAAATATCTAATTTCACAAATACTCAAGAAGTAGGAAAAGAGCTGCAGTTTTCTAGCCATTTCAAAACTGAGTTAGCATCACACTGTGCAATCTAACCCCTCTCAAAGACAAGACAAAACAAAACCCTGGATTAAATATTTAACTGTTAAAAAAAAAAGGAAAAACCTCATTGGTAGAAATTTTTTCTATGCATGACAAAAGTAAAAACAATAAAGGAAAAAACTGCTAATCTGAACACATAAAAACTTTCAACTTCATGTAGTTGAAAAAAAACTTAGGTCAACATGTGGGGGGAAGCATTTCCAACAGATATGACACATAAATAATAACCTTAACGTTTTTAAAATAGGATTTCTAAGTCAAAAATACACATTAGTTTTTCATTAGCCTTATCACTTTCCCCTCTAAAAGCACAGAACAATATTATTTTAATTAATTAACTACTAGTCAGGTTTGTGCTAAGCACTTTAAAGCTATGTGAAGTATGATCTTCAATGAACTAAAATACACAGTGTAAAGTACTGGTTTTATATAAGATGTCTCCGCATTAACAAAGCAGAGATTAAGGTGACTTTATCAAGTCTTTTAGCCTTTCTCACAGTTCACTGCCTAACTCCTCTCTTCTTCAAAAATGACTGCGAGGAAGAGGAAAAAAATTTCTCCCTACAAAACATCAGTGCAAAAATAGTGGTCCAACCCTTTCTCAGCTAAATCCATGGTTTTCCATATGTAGTTTTATAACAATAACCTGAAGCACGTATACAGATTCCCAGACTCCACTGCCAGGCACTCTGGTTCAGCAGGTCTAGACTGGGGCCTGAGGACAGAATTTTTCCCAGAGGTCAGAAATTAGAAAAGAAAAAAAAAGAAATCAGTTAAAAATTTAAATGATCCAAACCATCACCACATTAGCTGTAATTTTACTATGCCAGACACCACACTGAAGAATTTACACAAACCATTTGACTACAGTCCTCACAAGCAACCCAGTAATACAGATCCTCTTAGTTCTTGGTAACTGATAAGGAAATGGGTTCAAGGTTAACACAGCCAGTAAGTGGCAAAGCTGATGTCTGTTTCCAAAGCCCTGACTCTTTCCACTTTGCATTCAGTATGTCTGTGTTCCTGAGACCCAGCAGAAAACCGTAACTTGATGGCCTGACCAGACCTGAAAGGGAGAGTGAGGGGACTACACCTCCCTGTGTGACAGTCATTCCCACAAAGGGCACGACGGTCCAGAAGTGGTCTCACCGAAATGCTTAGTAGTCTCTTGACCAAGTCCCCACTACCAGTAGGCTGTCTAGCCACAACAGGGTGAAATCTTGATCATCACTGTCAAGATGCATCAGTGACATGTAAGGATTTACCACCCCGAGCCTCTGAAGCCACAAAGTGGTGTAACTCCTGCAGAAGTAACTGACATCGGGACATCTAGTAAAGACAACTGCTTTAGATCGCATACCTGAAATGCAGACTGTCCATAATGAGCAGCTTCAGAGTCAATGTGGAAGAGCCACAGCCCACCCAGCATCCCCCGCCGCTGAGGCAGCACTCCTCTCCACCACCAGGCACGTTCTGTCTGCGGCAGGGGCACAGCCGGAGAATCAGAGGTCCCCATCCTAGCCAACGCTAGCTGGTCCACGGATGGGCATGTGATGCAAGCAAGTCCGATGAGGGCCTTTTTCTAGAATTTTCTATGTGAGATTAGAGAAGAAACACTGCAAGGAGTGGAAAGAGCCCATGAACAAAGCCTGTCTGAGCAGGAGAGAAGAGAAAGTTCCCCGTCGTCGAGGTTCCTGGAGCTGCCCGGGTCTTTTTCCTTCAATTTTGTTCCTTTCAGGAACCCATATAAGCCTATAAATATATCCGTTTTGCTTAAGTAAGTTTTGTTGGACTTTTGACGACTGACAGTGAAGAATTCTGACTACTATAAATTAAGGTAAATATAATCTACATTTTATAGGTTAAAAATATGAAGCAGAGAGGTGGTCAAGGTTTCACAGCAAACAGAGCCAGAACAAGAACACAGGCTTGTCTGACTCTAAGACCGACCCATTTTCTAAATACCAAAATAATGGATTAAAACAAAATGTATTAATAATAAATTTCACTGAAAAATTGTTCTCATCATTTTAGAGTTTTTGAGAACTTGGAAGGACATTTCCAAGTATATTGCAGCCAAGGAATTCCATGCAATGAACATTTTCTGTAAGATCTGACCAGTGCAGCCTACTGGGTACAACCCTAATCCCACGTTTTAAATGAGAGAAACAATAGTTTTAATATGTGAGGTAAGGCTGCTTCAAAACAAAGTTAAGAATGCAATGATAACCAAGTCCCATCAAGAAAAGGAAGATGCTGCTAGCCTCTTGGCCCTGTTTTCCACTAATGAAACTCTACCTAGACTAGGTCCTTATTACAGCAGCTTTAGAGAAAGAGCACTTGCAGGGCATCAAAGGATACACAGTTTCCAATCCTGGTCCAAGTACCGATGCCCTCTGCACTTTGGCCAAATGATTTACACATAGGAAGAGAAGTTAAGAATACCTACTCCATATCCCAGGGTAGCCAAAAAAGTTGATGGAACTCTAGGAGAAATCTTAAAAGATGTC